TTGGCACAGGTCTGTCACTGTAAGCTTTGGGTCACTTTACAAATATTTCTCCTCCAGAGGTGACAACATCTCTAATCATAATTGGCAAGGGGACCAAAGCTTGTCTGCCACTTTTTTCTGATTAAATAAGACATTATATTTCAGGGCAGTTCTCATCAGGTATTAAGGTCAAGTTCTGCCAGGGCACATATAAACGTAATAAATGTGTTGGATGATCTATGCTACTGTGCAAGTTATCCACGATCTCTGAGAGAAAGAAATCTTGGCATTCAGCTTCTTGTGTCACTCTTGAAAGACTCACTGGAATTTTGAGCTGAAATCTGAATTGTTTTAGAAATTTGCTTCCTTAAGATAAAATTTGTAGGGCACAGCAAAGGCTCAGGGAAAGATACTTCTCTGATGGGTGACCTTGGAGAAAGATCTATTGATGAAACTATTAGCTTCAATATTTGTAAAATGCCACAAGAGCACAGGTGTGGTGGGAACCTCCTCTGTGACCTTACACTGGACATGGTTCTCCTCCACAGAAAGTTTACAAAGGACAGCAGGTGATAGCGAGCTGGCATGTGGCTCCAGGCACCACAATAACACATTATAGTTCTGAATAATGCAGTATAAATCCTAGCTGCCAAGGGGGAGCCACCCACAATAAAGCTAAACATAATCTTCTCCAGCACCCACGTCAGCTCTTGTTGCATCCTTTGTCAGGAAGCTGCATAAACAGATGAGCCCTGCAAAACTGTGAGGGGGAGCAAATGTGAGGAAATTTAGGATCTAGCACATGGTAGGGAGGAGAGGAAAAGAAACCTCTCGAGAGTTTTAGCCCTGTCATGTAGATTGCCCTATTCATTAGTTAATGGTGTTGAAAAATAGCTGGGCAATCTGAAGTGCCTCAGTTCTGTAAGGCTTCCCTTATAAGTGGAAGATTGGAAAATTCATGGCTGCTGGGTGCTGGATTGCCAGTACCGAGCGTTGGTGCTGGTATGATGGAAGGCATGGACAGAATTGCCACTGATGTACGAGCAATAATGTTTGATTTATAAGTCATCTGGCTAAATGAAAGATTCAGCTGCAATTCTCTTTGAAGTCTGACATCTACAAGATAAATAGGCTGAACATGCTTAGTCTGATAAGAATTCATCTCTGAACCAACAGCACAGGAGGACCTGCTCCGTGAGCTGCAGACAGAAGGCCTGCAGAGGACCAGAGCTGACATGTGAATATAGCCCTGGAAAACAGGTTTCATTTTGGAGATGATATCAGTGGGATACTGAACACAGAAACCCCAGGCCCCAAACCTCTTTCTCATTTTAGTTGCTTTCACAGAAGCAAGAATGTGCCCATCCTTAGTAAATAAGCAAATTTACACCAAGAAATAGTAAATTTGTGCAATCAACTTTTCACACACAGAGAAATAATCCACCAAAGCTGATAATTCAGAACTAGAGGCAAGTGGATTTTCAGTGAGAGCAGCACAGCTGCTATTGTACACTAGTGAGTTGCTTTCGGAAAGGGATGTGCTGAGTGTCCCCCAAGGGCAGATGTGGCTTCCCTCTGGGGACTTCTTGTGGTGGAAAGAGAAGGGGCTCTGGAGTGCCAAATGAAGACGTTTCACAAGCTGAGTGCTTCTGGCTAAGGTTCAGATAGAGCAATTCTGGCAGAAACCCTCTGATGCAGATATGGAAACTTTTCTCCTTCAGCCTGTTTATTTTTCATGTTGATATTTACATTGCTTCTACACCCAGACTCTACTTCTATTTCCACCAGAGATCCAAAGGCTATAGGGCAGGAATGCAGTACTAACAGAACATCTAGAACAATACAACCCTGCCAGTAGCTGACATTAAAACTTCAAATATAAACAAAAAATAAAAGAATTCCCACTTGACAAGCAAGCACTTCTTTGTGAAATATCCCAGAAACAAGCTTTTAGTAGAAGACAGTACTGCAAAAGCCAGTAGGAGTGCTCAGTATAGTGAAATCACTTCAGGAAGGATATGATCAGTGATATCTTCACCATGTTTAAGAGGAGGAATATGGGCTGTATCAGCCTGGAATAGGTACCAAATGTTTGTATATATAGTCCTGAGTTACACAAGCTGCAGAGAAAGCATGTGGGGGGTGCACACCAGAGAGAACAGGAGAGGAACTGAGCTGCAAGCCCATCTCTGTGATCTGCTTTAAAATAGTCTCCATCCCACCAAGAGGTCTGTTCAGTGTCACCACAGTGACGCTGCTCACTGACAACACAAATCTGCCTTACAGCTTCCTTCAGGAGTCCCACCCATGAGGAACCCTGCAGGCACCCATCCCTCACAACCCACAGGGGAAACCTCCCCTGTCAAATCAGCCTTTGCATGAACACCTTCACTCTGAACCTCTGCATCCTTGGTGCCCAGCAGGACACTGCAATGTCACAACACGGGCAGCAGTGCACAGGCTGCCAAGTCTGATGAAGGAGAGAAGCACATTTTATACCACAAGCTGTGTTTTTGTTTACTGTCTCCCATTTATAAAGACAGTATGTGAACACATAAAATACGATATTTTTCCTGGGAAGCAGGACTCTGCATCCGTGGTGTCACCCTGTAGTCTCAAAAGCCCCCATGACAAGCTCAGAACTCCACAGACCTGGGGAGGGTAAAACAATCAGTGTAGGTGGGTGGCCCCCACCCATGACACCTCTTACCAAGCAGTGTGTCCCCAGATAGAGCAGGACTGTGGGGATGAGTCACCTGTGTTCTCCAACCTGAATGGAGTTCCCACCACCTCCTCCTTTCAAGTCCCTGGACACCTTCAGACCAGTGCTGTCAAGGCTAAGGGGCAAGGAAGAATCAGAGAAATGGTCATTCCCAATCCTCACCTACTTGGATCGCCCCTTGGGTTCTGCAGGGACTGATCCCTTGCTGCGCCATCACTGATTCCAGTTTCCCTCAGCAGTACCATTGTAACAAGCATATGTGACAGAACACAGAAATGCTTTGCAATCTTTGCTGAGGAAATCAGTTGTCCACGTGCAATGTTGAAATAATTTTCAGTACCTTTCTATCATTTCTTGCTGATGTATCAGAGACACACACATTCCTGAGACACGGAGGAGATGCAAGGTGAAAGGCAATGCCATTTACAGCACCTATGAAGGAGTCAAGGGAATGAGAGCATCCTCCCTGCTATAGCTCTAGGTATGTCCCAGGGTAGTTTTAGAAAACCTTCTGGAGGGCCCCATTTTAAAGCCTTTTCTTGGGGAAATTCAGTTGTTCCTGGTTGTGTTGAAGAGCTGTTGAAAGCAGATTGCTTTAATATGACCTTATAAGAGATTCACATAAAAGCCAGAGGGAGCAATAGGAAACAAGGGAGGTTTATTGCTAAGGTATCAGAGGAGCACTGGGAAGGATCAGAGTTTGATCTTGGCTGTGCTGATGACCTTAGGTAAATCACTCAAGAACAAGCTTGAAAAAACTTGGTTAGGAAGTTTTTCAGACTCAGTGCCTCAGTGGGAACCAGGGGGTTCAGGGCACAGTTGACCATTCCAAATTTTGATAGTGATTGTGAGTGCAGAGCAAATCAAAATCTGAATTTAGAATCTTTTGAGAATCTTAATTCATCTCTCTCTGTCTCTTTTTCTCCCAAGCTTAAAACAGGGAAAACAAATATTTTGCCACTGTTGTAAAGCTAAATGTATGAATGTTTGCTGAGATACAGGGGTAACAGAAGCCACAGAGGTGAATAAGATGGATATTGCATTAAAAAATCCCAAGCCCTGTTTTTATCTAAACAGTGGATTGGTGATGAAAACAATGGAACTGAATTATTAACCACACAGCCATTTATGTGACAAATGTCACCTTTTTGTCTGATAATGATTTCCAATGGGATAGTACCACCATTTTATATGTCCTGTATGCACTTGAATAATGTTTGGTAAATTAGAGTCTGATTCAGAAAGTACTGCTGAATACAGTCAACACTACTTCTGTTAAAAATTACCAGAAAATATATTTTCTGGACCTGTTTAGTAATCCACAGGTGATAAACAAACTAGCTTACTTAAAGATCATTTAGGGATGAGGAAGCCTTTTTTCCATTGACATTTCTGAATGGAAAATTCTGCTGAGACAGTCAGCAGCTCAGACTGTTCAGATAGCAGAGGGAGACCTTTAACAGTGCATCTGACCCATTACTGATTTATGAGAGAACAATGTTGGAATAAATATGAACAAAAATCTATCCTTTCACTCAATTTGGTACAGCAATGTTGAAATTGTACTAGGATAAACAACTGCCTTGCAATAAGCATGCTCATTCATTATTCAGTGTTAAATCTTAATTGTTGCTGATTTCAATTTCTGTGTGCTAAGTGTTTCTAAATTATAAATAACCCTGAAACTCTAATAGTATATACTCTGTTAAGGAAAAGGTAAGTACAGAAATAAATTATTAAAGTGTTCTGCTTAACTATTGCCACACAAGTCATCTCAGGATTGGGAGATCAAGGCAGCCACTTCGATAAATTTGAAGAGATATTGACAAGGAGTCTATGGACAAGTCATGAATCTGTGCTGCATAAACAGACTTTGCATATGTATATTTATTTACAAAATTGTTACATTGTGATCTTCACTCTGAGGTTTGATTTTTCTCCTTTTCAGGTCATTGGCAAATTGTCCTGACCTTAGTGAGAGTAAAATCATATCCTAAGTACACACATCACTGCTGTGCTCTCCCTTTGATCTGAGCACTGAGTTGCGATTAACATTAAAGAGAGAAAGTCCAGCCACAAGCATTTTCATGCCCTGAGCAAGCATCAAACACGAGACCCCTTCTTGTCCTGTCTCTTGTTCTCCTCTTTCATGTCTCTCTTACTTATTTATGTATTTGCTTTAATTTGCTTGGAAGAGTTTTGTTTGCCTCAAGGAGGGATGGTTGTGTGATTAAGGCACCTCACATCCCTGTGTCTCCTTTTGCCTTTTCTAATTCTTTCCATCTCTTCTTTAGACATCCAGTGGAAAGACCTGTTGGCTTGTTCTTCACTGGCCTGTGGGACAGCGCTTCATATCTGTCAATGGATCAGAAGGACTGAAGAGCATTTTTGCTCCCACCAATGTTTCTTAGAGCTGCTAAAACAGGACCAATGAAGATGTTCACCAGACTCCAAGTCCTTGCGCTAGCTTTATTTTCCAAAGGAGTTTTCCTTTCCCTAAGTGACCACAGCTTTGTCAGAAAGGAAATTAAGATAGAAGGAGACCTGGTCTTAGGAGGCTTATTCCCAATCAAGGAAAAAGGCACTGGGATAGAAGAATGTGGGAGAATCAATGAAGACCGAGGCATCCAGCGCTTGGAGGCCATGCTGTTTGCTATTGATGAAATCAACAAAGACAACTACTTGCTGCCAGGAATTAAGCTTGGAGTTCACATCTTGGACACATGTTCCAGGGATACATATGCCTTAGAACAGTCTCTGGAGTTCGTCAGGGCATCTTTGACTAAAGTGGATGAAACAGAGTACATGTGCCCTGACGGCTCGTACGCCATCCAAGAGAATTTGCCACTGCTCATTGCAGGAGTCATTGGTGGCTCCTACAGCAGCGTCTCCATACAGGTGAGTCACAGCAGCCCCACCAGGTGAGAACTGTTTATCTGCAGTTCCAGTGAGAAAACCACTGCTTGTGTAAGTTTGCCAATAAAGCAAGTCCTAGCTTGATCACTTTACCCTAGGGGTCAAGCTAGCATATGATTTTTACTGAATTTACATTAGTTTGATTCACTCTTTAAAATACCTACTTCAAACCTCCAGCAGCTGTCCATTTCTTCTAGTTATGTTGTATCCTGAAGGCATCTGAAATTTCCAAAAGTCTTAGTATTCATTTTTAACTTTGCATTTGATGACACTTTCTACAGCTCTAAGTGCAGATATATGTTCACATTAATCATAAATGATACCACCTGTGTGTCTGAATACATGTGTTCCTGCCATGCTGCATGTTCATAACATTTGTCATTTTAACAACAGATATTTAAAATTTAAAGATAAATCCTTGTCTTAGTTCTAGACACTAGTGGGGTTCCCCAAGGCTCAGTATTGGGGCCAGACCTGTTTAATGTCTTTATCAGTGTCCTGAGTGAGGTCATCAAGTGTACCCTCAGTCAGTTTGCAGGTGACACTCAGCTGGGCGGGAGTGCTGATCTGCTGGAGAGTAGGAAGACTCTGCAGACTGAATCAATGACTGAGGTCAGTGGTATGAGGTTCAATAAGGCCAAGTACAGGTCCTGCACTTGGGTCACAACAATCCCCTGCAGGACAACAGGCTGGGGGAAGAGTGGCTGGAAAGTGTCCCAGCAGAAAAGGACCTGGGGGTGCTGGTTGACAGTGGCTGAACATGAGCCAGGTGTGCCCAGGTGGCCAAGAAACCAGTGGAATCCTGGCTTATATCAACAATGGTGTGTCCAGCAGGAGCATGTCCAGAGAAAGGCAACAGAGATGGTGAAGGGTCTCATCCTGAAGGAGCTGGGGGTGTTTAGACTGGAGAAGAGGAGTCTCAGAGGGAACCTTATAGCTACAAACACCTGAAGGGAAGTGGTAGCCAGATGAAGGGTGCCCTCTTCTCCCCAGCAACCTGTGACAGGTTGAGTGAAAATGTCTTCAAGCTGCGCTAAGTGAGGTTCACGTTGGACATCAGGAAGAATTTCTTCACAGAAAGGGTTGTTAAGCATTGGAATGGATTCCCCAGGGAGGGAGGTGGTGGAGTTATCATCCCTGGATATATTAAAGAAATTACTGGATGTGGCACTCAGTGCCAAGGTCTGGCTGACATGGTGGTGATCAGTCAAAGGTTGTACTCTGTGATCTTGGAGATATTTTCCAACCTAGATGATTCTGTGATTCTGTGGTCACATTATTTTTGGTCAAACAAAACAAGCCAGTTCACATGACTCATAATCACAAGTGAGTGCTGTCTTAAGCCCAGACTGACATAGACTAAGATCATGCATCTGGTATTTCTTCATGGTCAGACGCAGGTTTCCAAAGGCATCAAGATTCTTGACAGTGCAGGATGTTTTTTCAGACTCAGTGTGGGACGTTTTTCCAGACTGAGCACAGGCTTTAATTGCTGCACCAGTGTCAACAGCAATAAGAGTTCTTGCGTACTGCAGACTCTCCCAGGAGTGACAGAAAGCCCACAGAACCTCATTTCCCTGTTTCATAAATAGGGCAAGAGTTCATCCAATGTTCGTTTCAAGCAGAATGACTCTGGGGAGCTGGTTGCTGCTCTTGTGAAGGCATTAAGTCCCATCAGTTGGGAGCATGTCCCATAGGACATGCATGAGCACAGAAGAATTTAAAGAAATTGTGTTTTATTTTCTTTTGTATTCCAGTGTGTAACTCATCTGTGTATTCATAGTAGGGAATTTAAGGGCAAATCATTACCCATACTGCAGGAGAACACTTTCTGCAGAGCAGAACTCCAGCCATCTCTTGTAGTGGAAGTGGTTTTGTCCCTCTAGCCAGCTAGCAGAGCAGGAATGTATCTTTCACCAGTTATGTGAGTCTGATCACTTGGAGCACAAAGAACAGGTAAGTTTCAGGCTGAAAAAGAGACATCTGAAGGGGGAAAATGTTAGCTATAGAACCTTGGGCAGCACAAACTCTTAAGGAAACCATTTTTCATTGTCTCTTCCAATCACACAAAGAGTACAATAAATGAAACCAGCAAATGGTAGATTGTTGTGGATGCTAAAAGCTGAATGAGTTCCAGAAGTGACTAGAAAAAAAAGAAGAAATTCCATAAGAAATTCCTCCTTTGGTCCAGCAGTTCCCAGAGCTACAGCTCTCTGAAGGCTGACAAAATATTTTGAAGCATCATATGACTGTAAAAAATGTACATGTACATGTAAAAAAATGGTAATATTGCTATATGAACACCTGTAGGTCATCCAATTTTCAAAACCTAAGGAGGATGATGGGACAATACTTATAGTTAGTATTACTCTATGATCTTCCCTAGACTTGTCAATATTTTTTCAAACATAAGGTCTTAACACAGTTCTTCAGAGAAACAAATCGTTTCACAAATCATTCAACTTGTCATCAAGCATCTTCCATTTTTTCTTCTAGAAAAAAGTATTCTCTTGTTTATTTTCTCTTTACATGGATTGTGCTGGCCTTCCTTCAGTCTCTCTTTTCTAGCTTTCCTCTAGATTTCATACCATCTAGAAAAGATGTAATTAAGTACCAGAAAATACATAATTAAGCCATTCACTCCTGTTGCCCATCCTGTTAAAATAGTCACAAGTTCTCTTTCAAAAGAAAATCCCTGTCAAGAATAATAGACATTGCAGACTCAAGCCTGAAATCGTAGGGACTTTCAAGCATTGAAGGCAAGCATTTTGGTGCCATACCAATTTCAGAGCCAGTCACCTGGACAGAGTAGCTCCAGTAACAACTGGAAGCACACCACTGCTGAAAGTCAAAATATTTCACCAGGGGTGTGTGTGCAAGGCTCAGCACTCCCTTTCCCTGTGTTTTCAAGCAGCATCCAGGGTGCTGGATGCTTCCAGATGTAGCCCTGGCAAGCATTTTTCTTCTGCTGAGAGCTGTAAACACCGTAAAGTCTACAGTGCAGTTTCTTAGCCTTAAAATAAAACATGCTGAGTTCTTCAGACAAAAATTATTTCTGCCTTTTTTTCCCCCTCCTGTGAATTTGTCTTTATATTTCAATATTTTTTCTTCCCCTCCCTTCGCCCTCCCTCTCCTGCTTTTTTTCTGGACAGCTGTCTGCCAAATCACTTCATGATGCTCCTGCTGTCAGATTTGTACTTCTTTCATTACCCTTCCACTAAGGAATAAAAGATTTTGCTGGTAAATCAGCAATGAACACCTTCCCCACTGAGTCAGTATGTGCGATAGGCACTTTTTACAGAGACTAAAAACAACAAGAGAATGCAGAATGCTTAATTATTTTCTGGTCAGACTAGGCTATTATCGTTAATGATGATCTGGATAATTAGTTTTTAGATGTTGTGTTTAAATTAGCAGTGAGCCCAATCTGCACAGCATTTGATTCTTCAAAACTCATGCCAGGATTCTTAGTCAATGGAAAAGCTCATGTTTAAAAAAATTTTAAAAAAATTAAAAGGTGTTTTCATGAAATAAAATTCTGACTTGAGTTGAATCTAGCATCAGGAAGTGAAGAATTCAAAATTTGGAGAATTTTCTTTTGGGCTCATGGCTTTTCATCTGAGCCAGGTTATCTACTCTTTCTTAGTTTACAACAGAAATTTCAAACATATTTTCCTTGGAGAGATTGACACAGTAAAAATTACAAGAAAAAGAGGCAGCATTCATTTGCAGAGGAGCACCTACATAGCCAATACCAATTCCACGTTTAAGATACTTAGGTCAGCTCTTTCCAGGAATGTGCATTGGAAGCAGGAATACCTTTATTCAAATGCTGGATTTGTTCTTCCCTGTTTCTGAAAACTGGATTCTTCTTCTGAAAATGAAGACTAGAGTCCATTCCCTTCAGTCAGCTCTTAGAAAAATTAAAACTTTCCTTTACGTGGGCTGGATTTTTAATTTCTAAGTATACCGTATTCACATGGATGTAAAGATTGTCGACTGGCTGCCACCTGGCTGTCAACCCGCAAGACCTCCAGATCATGACCATAAAAGTTATTTCCAATTTAGGTCCTCATCCAGAAAAAACGCCAGAACAGAAACCAGTACCCTGCTGTCTTCTCTTCAGTTCCTTGCTGTGCCTCAAGTAAACTGTAACAAAACCACTGCAGCAGGTTTAACGGTGCATTACTGCTATCACAAAAGCTAAAGCCACTCCTAAGTGAGTGACCATCTGGCATGAAATTCAAAATATGTACTCATTTACTGGCAATCTTTTCCTGGCTGTCATTTCTCCTTAGCCACAAAAGTCTGCCAAGGGCTCATGGAGCCTGAAAGCTAATCACCTTCATTTCCTTCCTCCAAGAATAAACCATCTTTCAACGAGAGTCTTAACAATAGCTTCGGACTTCCATCACCACTGAAAATACTGTAAAATCCTCAAATGAACAGAAAATAAACAAAACATAGCACATGGAGCTCTGTCCCACTGTGCATTGATCCCACAGGGATATGGGCAGGAGACATGTGCAGGAGGTTGCAGAGGTTTGCCAGGCCACAGACACCATTTGTGCTGTGCACTGACAGCCTCTGGTGATTTTGTGCTTGTGAAAGTAAAGCAGATCCTGATTAAAAAATCCATTCTGTGAGATGGACCACCTACCACCAGCATTTAAGCTACACATGCACTTGCCAGCTTCCATGTGTCTCCTTTAAGTTCTCTCCTCTTTTATCTCTGTTCTCCCCCTCTTTCCACCACCTCTCAGTCAGACCCTTTACAATTACTTTGTAGTCATTTTGATTTGATTTTGGGCTATAATTTTCATTTCTCAAGTGTGTGCATTTTGTCATTTGCTAAGAGAAAGTTGTAAGACTTTACAGGGATAGATAAGTAACCACTGAGATCATAGGTAAGGAGGAAGGAGCTCTATCATACAAGTCATAGAATTGTTGAGGTTGGAAAAGACCTCTAAGATCATTGAGTG